AAACCCCCGAAAAAACGAGAGAGAGAGAGAGAGAGAGAGAGAAGTAAATGGACTATATAGAATGTCTTCAATTGACTAAGCTTGTAAAAGGCAGCCTTCTCTAGCCTACTTTGACCTTTCCTGAATCCTGATATGGCCAAGTTGTTGAGCAGTTTTTGAGGGGTGTTGGTGACAAGCTGAGGCTGCAGTACTGGTAATAGGTTTTTGAAAGACTTGAACTGTATGCTAGCTTTTACCATGAATGTGTGTCTCAAAGTATGGTTCAAAGTTAATGATAGTTTTTGTTATTAAATCATTGTGATATTTTGTGAATAAGGATAAGCAGAAAGGGATAATGAAGAAAATTCATGAATCGAAGATTCATTTAATAGTGTATTCTGTCGTTACTTTACCATTCTCTTAAAATTTTGAGGGAGAGACAAGAAGATGGTGAATGAGCTTCCGCTGTTGGGATGATGCAACTCTATGTTTTTTCTTAGTTTTGTTCAGTTATTTATCCCAAGTAGGTTGTTGCACAAAAATTTGCTTATCGTTTCTCTGAGTATTTTTGTCTTTTGGATGACACAGGTCTGTAGTATCACTCTCCTTACTTGATCAAATAAGGTACCCATGGACCACTGAAGTCTCTCTCTCCCCTCCTATCCCCCTCCCCTCTGGATTCTTAAACTTCTGTTTCTGCAAGCTCTATATAGATGGAAGCGCAATCGCCCCCAACTTGTGATTTGTAAATTCAGTGCACCACTTCCAGAAAAGAAACAAAACTGTGTTAGGATGTGGTATACCAGACCAATATCTGCTGGTCACCTGGTCTGAGAGTCCAGGCAAGTCCCAAGTGTGTTTCTTTTTCAACCTTCGTATCCTGCAAAATGTGTTCAACAATGAACCAAGAAAAGCAATAGTATGCTGAGATGTTTCCGTTAAGAAGAAGCTTTGATGCGTATTTCCTGTACAGCAGTCATATCAATAACACTCTTAATTTTGAGGAGTTGTCAGTTGACGTTTTGTTGTAGTAATAAAGTTGCCTTCACCATTTTCACAGCTGAAATATCAATAATGCCGATGTACACTTATGAAGAGACTAAACAAAATGGTTCTTAAGCAAAATTTACTTGCATCCCCTATTCCCCACACTAAGGTTCTGGAATTCTTCTTTTGGGTATTATACAGTCGTAGACTGGGCATTGCTATACAATTTTTGTAGAGGAAGCTGAAATTCTCAGCAGTCCTGCATATTCTGCAGTTCGTATTGCATTCTGCAGTTTCAAAATTATAGCTGCATTCTGAGAAATGTAGTAGTGAGTGGTTGATCCTTGCTCAACCTGAACAACATCCGCCCTTCTTAACAGCAGATACATCGTTCCCGATTTTGATTGTTTGTCCTGCAGGCAGAGACGCTGGGTCGTCTCCTGCATCAAGAGCCTTCTTGCTGACCACCCGGTAAATCTGAGTCAGCACTTCTGTGAAGGCGTTTTCAACGTTCAGTGCCTCAAGAGCAGATGTTTCCATGAAGAAGGTACGTTCCCTCTCGGCAAAACCCTTTGAGTCCTCAGTGGGAACAGCACGCAGGTGGCGTAGATCCGCCTTATTCCCTACTAGCATGACGACGATGTTCTGGTCTGTATGATCTCTGAGCTCCTTGAGCCATCTTGCTACGTTCTCAAATGTTACATTGCGAGTAATATCATAAACAAGTAAAGCGCCAACTGCTCCTCTATAATAAGCGCTTGTGATGGCTCGGTACCTAGATTGATTGCCGAAGGGTGTTTAGAAACAATCTCCTGGCATTAATAGGTGATAAAAAAAGGTAGCACATTCAAAAGGGGCAAATGAACATAGTCATTCTCAACGATGCTATTTAGAGATTATCCAGTATTTATTTTGTCTTGAAATTTTGAATTAAATTTTTTAACTTTAGAACAATTTAGGACAAAAATGTCCTGAAAAAGTAAATTGAAAAATTAAAATTCAGAACGCACTAGCTAATTTTTAAATAGCAGCCTTTATTATCTCTAAAGATAATAAATCAAACGAAAGTGGGCAAACGATGGATATTTTTGTGTTGGATCTTTCATCTTCTTTTCATTTCCTGGCCATTTCTGTTGGTGGGGAGTGATGTAAAATTGTTGGGAGTGTAACCCATACAAGAAAATATATATTTTTTAAAATTTTATGAAATGGCCGCAAAATCATAACTTAAGGTATAGATTCAACATCAGATGTTTTGACATTGTTGCTTTCAGAATATTCTGACATTTTTTTTATATCAAATATCCTAATGTTCTAGAAACCATTATATTTTCTCAAACATATCTTTCCCTGGAATGCATCAATGTATCTTTCAGAAAAACTACCTTCCTTGTGACTCCCATCCTTAATAGTTGAGATTTCTACTATTGATGAATATGAAAACTAACAGGGTGTGGTGAAAGGGATGAAAAAGCATAGGTACCTTTCTTGGCCGGCAGTGTCCCAAATCTGGGCTTTGATAATCTTGTCATCAACATGAATGGTTCGGGTGGCGAACTCGACACCAATAGTGGACTTAGATTGTTGGCTGAATTCGTTTTTAGTAAAGCGAGAAAGCAAGTTAGATTTGCCAACACCAGAATCCCCTATGAGTACCACCTTGAACAGGTAATCGTAATCCTCCTCTGATCTGTATGTTCCCATTTCCTTTTTTCTGTAACATAAGATCAGTTGCGTTTGTCTATCTTCCAATGACGTTGGCGTTCTTCCTTTGGACTAGGGATGAGAGAGAAAGAGAGAGGGAAGAAGATGAGCATTATTCATTGATTAATTTTACCTTCTAACGAAGAAACATATTTACCTGCCTTTATTTCGGAAGGTTGGTGTGGGAATGAGAAGCTGAGAAACAAAGGGTAGAAAGGACAGTTTTTGAGTTGTATATTCTTCTTTATATATATAATAAAAAGTCGTAGTTGAATTAAGAGAAATCACAATGCATGTCCATTCGTTAGCATCAATAAAAATTTGCATGTTGGATTTTTAGTATTGTGGGTGGTTGCTATTGACTATTGTATCATCTATATATCTCTTAGGATCGTTTTTTGGTTCAAAACAAGGTCATCTCAAGATTTTAATAATTTTGCCTTCTATATGCGATATATAATCATAGGCGGATCTAGGATTTTAAGTTTATGCGTTCATGTCGCAATTTTAAATTAATATACAATAATAACTGGGTTCACAAGTAGATATTTATAGATATTTAATAAATTTTTTAACAAAAATACAAGGTCTATGCAAAAGTTACTGGGTTCCCAGGAACCCGTATATTACACCCTTGATCCGCCCCTGCATATAATATTAACATTTTAGTATAAAATTTATATTGATATTAGCTAATATCAAACCAAATGATGGATAAATACAATGCCAAATTTAATATTGAAATTAGTATTCTAATCTTGATAACCAACAACCCCTGCCCCCGTCCCCTGAACGAGACAAAAACTTACAGTAGTAGGCTTGACGTCATAGCCACAAAAAAAAAAAAAAATTACATTAACACTGTTTGACTTTTTTTTTATTTAAATTTTTTAAAATCAAAGCCTATTTGAAATGAAGGGGGGTTTGGCTGGACCCTTACCAGTAGATTAGTAACCCAAAAATTGTACAATGGAGAGGGGATATACTGCCTAACTTCTTCAGCCTAATCGAGGATTGAAAAACTTCCATCCTATAAATTGGTAATCCCATCTAGTAAAACCTATTGGATAAGCTAAGTTGTTATAGACAAGGAGTAGTCTAATGCGAAGATTAAATGAGGAAGACTCCTCCTTTACAATGATTAGCATTATAGAACCCAAAAATAGTCTGACTGAACATTGTTTAGTTCAAAACAAGGTTATCTCAAGATTATAATAACTTCACCTTCTATTGGGATGTATGATATGAAGATTTTGGTATAAAATTTACATAGGTATTAGCTAATATCAATAACCAAATGATGGATAAAATGCAATTTCAAATTTAATATCGAATTTGGTATCCTAATTTCCTAATCCTAGTAACCAATGACCCCTGCCCCCCTGCATGCGTCGCCAGGCGGTTCAAAACGAAAAATGTTAGTAGTAGGTTTGACGTCATCGTCACAAAAAAGGGTTATTATATATATATATACATATATATATATATACTAGTCTCTATGTATGTACTTTGCACATATATCTTTCGCTATATTTAAAAGATAAGCTGAAAAAATATTTCTTTCTATAACTTCATATATCAAACGTTTTTCGCTTTATTATGTCACTTTACCCATCCGATTATTAAATTTTTATCTTATCGCAAGGAGCTTCTGTGGTGAAGGGTCATTTGTTGCTAAGTATTTAAGTATCTTCCTAGTAATATTATAATAGTTGCTGGTATCATCTTAAGCGAAGTCAAAACTAAAAAATATTTTACTTCCATCCAGAGGCAGACCCAGAATTTGGAGGTGACGGGGGCACTATTATTTTTGTCATAGTCATGATTCATGCGAATTATTAGCTACAAAGTTTGACGTGCAACTCTCTTAAGACTTTGATGATTATGATAAGTGCTAAGCTTCAATTTTTAATATAGAGAAGAGTTTGGGATTTTTTGAGGGAGAAGTTTTATCATAAGAAAGGAGGTTTTGGGTGGAAACTAAAGAAAAAAAAATAAAAAAAGGACCTGAAACTAAAGGAAAAAAAGCAAAACAAAGAAATCTGGGCTTATAGATCCTTCAAGTAAAATCGAAGTAACTGTTGGAGCTGGGAATCAAACTCCGGTATCCACGCGTAAGAGCAACTATAAGTTGCAGATGCGACCAGTGCCCGAAACGGGCTTTTAAGATTGAGGGTGCCTAATAAAATATTTAACCGTTTCTCCAGGTATACAGCCTACATATACATATACATACAGGTTTTTTCCCGAGCTTAACGGGTGCCAATGACCCCTCTACCTTCCACCTAGGTCCGCCCCTGCTTCCATCAGGGAACTTGACAATCAATATCTCATTTAATTGTTCGACATATTGTGCTAGCTAAGATTACTTTTTTCATCATGTGTTTTAGCCAACTCATATTTTTATTTGATGCTACAAATATTATTTACTAAGCAACTTTTATTACTATCATCATTGAGCTTGACAACCAATTGTTTTTAACGAGGACTAAAATCTCTTATTGTATGCTTTTCTCCATTTTCCGAAATGAAGAAAAAATCGTTGAATGTTGGATTTATTTTTGTTTTCATATTTTCTATTAGCTGAATGATTTTCATTTGATGATCAGGTATGTATTTATAGTCTATATTCTCGTTAAATTTGGAACTATTGGTAGTACTTGATGGTTCACCTTTAAAACCATTACTTTTTCTTCCATATAATATTTTTAATCTAAATATTAAATGCCTTATTGGTAGCGATTTGATCAATTGGAATCCAATTATAAAACCTTTTTCAATCTTATTGTGACCGACAAAAAAAGAGGGGAGAAAAAAAATGCATCTTAAAAGTTGGTACCTCAACCTAGCAAATAGCACTAAGAATTCTTATTTCGATAAAGGTTAATTATTTTTTTGGTAATTAAAATCTTTATTCACCAAAAAAGCATATGTAAAGCTCAAAAAAATCGAAAAAACAACCTATCTTTCTTCCACTGGGTTAGACATAGTCCCAACCTTCAGTGATCTTCCAACTATTTCCTATCTTTCATACATAATTCTAAACTACTCTGTATCATTTCATGGGTAAAAATTCAGACTTTGTACCTTCTTCCTCATCTTTATCTTCATGCTTACTCGATAGAATATTTCTTGTATAATCACTTTGACTATTTGCCCCACTGATATTTGTTTCTGTTGTAAAACTCTGAAATTTCTTTCCCGCCAGATTTGATACACACTTCCAGCTAGGGCCATCATGTATTCTTCATCAGTTGCATTCTTCTTGTTGTGATTCGATATCGCCCATTGTACTTCACCATCCCAATTCATAGGCTGCCTAAATATACCCTGCCACTGTAATAGTTTTTGCCACACTTCCTTCGATAGTTTGCATTCATAAAACAGATGTGCAATGCTTTCCTCAGTAGCTCCACACATAGGGCAAGTTGCATCTTGTATCACTCCCCATTTCTTCAATCTATCTCTAGTATATAGCCTCCTTTGTGCTGTAAGCAAAAGTATAAAATTCCATTTAGGGACACTCTGATTATTACAGACCAATCTCTTCCACTCCACCTTTGGTATATCACCCCTCAGCTTGCAATAGAATTCATTAGTTGAGAACTGCTCCATATTGATGAAATCCTCCATGCTCATTCCAGCTTGTTCTACATAATTGCGAGCCTTCAATATTTTCTGCACTATCCAAGAAGCTTGCGTGCATTTGGCTTCCCAAATTTGTCTTGTTTCCCCATAGTATGCATGCACCCATCTCACCCACAGCTTGTCCTTCTTCTTGCACACATTCCATAATTGTTTACAAATTGCAGCTTTATTCCATAGTTCAACGTCAATAAAATTTACTCCTCCTGCAGTTTTGGGATAGCACAATGTTTCCCAAGCAATTAGTGCTTTATTCGATCCATTTACCTCACCACTCCATAAGAACTTTCTGCATGTTGCCACGACTTCATTCATAATCTTCTTTGGCATAACAAACACTTGTGACCAGAATGTTTGTATCGAAAAAAGCACACTTTTAATCAGCACAATTCTTCCAGCATAAGAAAGAAATTTCGATGTCCATCCTGTAATTCTGCCAAGCATCTTATCCAGCAATGGTTGGCACTGAACAATAGCCAGCCTCTTTGAACTCAAAGGCACACCTAAGTACCTGAAAGGCAACTCACCTTTGGGAAATCCAAGCACATCCAAAACTTGTTGTTATAGAACTAGATTCATTCCTTCACAATAGACTGAGCTTTTGTTTGGATTTGCAATAAGTCCCGATGCCTCAGAGAACACCTTAATGCAATTGTACAGTAGCTATACAGAATCTTTGTTACCCTTGCAGAACAATAAGAGATCATCTGCGAATCCCAGCTGAGTAATCTTCGTCTTGGCACACTTAGGATGGAACTTGAAAGCAGGGTTCTTGGTCAACTTCTTCAGCAGCCTACTCAGATATTCCATAACAATAACAAACAAGTAAGGTGATATTGGGTCACCTTGCCTTAGGCCCCTCTTAGCAGCACACGGCCAACTAGGCTTACCATTCATATTAATTGAATAAGATACTGTCCTTAAACAGCTCATATCCAATTGGTAAACTTAACAGGAAAATGCAGCCCATGTAACATTTGCTCAATCTAGATCCATTCCACCGAGTCGTAAGATTTTTGCATATCAATTTTTATCATACACCTTGGCGAGATGCTTTTCCTTCCATATCCCTTTATGAGCTCATGACTTAGAATAATATTATCACTAATGATTCTTCCTGGCACAAAGGTAAATTGGCTTTGGTCAATCAGATCAGACATAACCAGTTGCAGTCTCTTTGTAATAATCTTCGAGATGATTTTATATAGCACCGTGCAGCAAGACATGGACCTGAACTCTTTTATTGTTAGTGGATTTTTCACCTTTGGCACAAGTGTTACAGATGTGCAGTTTATAGGCTTGAACATGTTTCCAGTGTGAAAGAATTCCAACACAGCATCAGTGATTTCATCTCCAACTACCTTCCAGCTCTCCTTGAAAAAAATATGAATCAAAACCATCACACCCCGGAGCCTTCTGGTCATCAATGTCCTTCATTGCATTATATGCTTCTTCTCTAGAAACTACTTCTATCATTTTCAACTGCTGCTCTCTAGTTAGCTTGTTTCCTTCATTCAGTACATCTAATTGGACTGTTGGTAACTCCTCAGCTGCTGTTCCAAGCAA